AGAGAATCCTTTGTCTGCCCGTGCCTGTGCTTTACGGGCCTCACCATGAGCTCTTAGTATGCTGGCTGCCTTGAGGTACACAAGCTCCTGCACCACCACTCCCAGCGGAGTCTTGATCATGCGATCAGAACTGCCCGAGGAGCCCATCGACTCGGTCCACTCCTTCTCCTTCTGCGCAGGGCACTGCATCACCACGCCTGGTACCACAAGACCTTCAAGACGTACCCAAAGCAGCGGCGCGCCATCATCCCCTTCCTGTTGTGATGTCGTGTTTAGTCGGTCCCGGTCGTAGTACTTTTGTCGACATGTGCATGTCTGGGACGCCACAGGGTGTCAGGAGAGCTTTCCAAGCCCAGCAGGGGCTCCGATTCCTTCTTGGCCTCGCACACCATGCGCACACACGACTGCTACTACAGGGGCCCACACTCAGATGCGCGGTGTGGGTGCGGACGACGGTCCTCAGGAGGGGGACCTGGGTGGGAAGGGTGGCCGGCCTCGCAAGCGGCGGGCGACAGGCAGCAATGCAATGGGCTCAAAGGCGGGGCGAGCAACATGGGCTTATGACCGGGGGAAAGGAGGGGGACTAAGAATTATCATGCCACAGACGGGGGAGTCGTGGAACCTGCGGGCCATCGTGGGCGCCGAGAGGTGGGGCAGCGTCGTGCTACTGGCGCGAGGGGTCGTCGCTGGTGGGGCGGGGGGACGGGCGCCGACGCCGGCCGGCCAGGCGCAGACGCGCGCGAGGCTGGCGCAGCGCGCAGGACGGCACAGCGCGACCAGTTGTCGCTGCGCTCAGCCCTCCCGCTGGGCCTTCAGAGGCCGCCCGCGCGGAGCGGGCTGTGTGCTCCCAGGAGCTCCAGGCCCAGCCCGTCCAGCCCGGCACCGACGCCGTCGTTCCAGCCCCCAGGGACGAACATGGCGGTCCTGCGGCCCGACATCAGGCGCGGCGGGGTGATGCCCAGGGCCGAGGCCGCCGCGGCCCACAGGTCGGCGTCGCAGTCGTCGCCGCGGGGCAGGGGCCCCTGCGGGCCGGGGGACAGCGCCAGCGCCATGCCCGGGTACAGCGGCACGTGGGCCGGCTCGCCGCCGCCGGCCGGGCCAGCGTCCGGGTAGCAGGCAAGGCCCTCGTCCACGGATGGCACTGAGCCCAGCAGGCTGCGTGGCGTGCCCGGCGTGTCGGCGCCACCGGCCCGCTGCGCCGCAGCGATCTCGTCTCCGGCGCTCGGCGGCGGCGGAGGTGGCGGCGAGGCAGATCCACACGTCGGCTCGCCGCCGACGCGCCGACGGCCCTGGCTGCGCGGCGGCGTGCCCGCAGTGTCATCCACGGCCGCAGCCGCCAGTCGCGACTGCGCGGCCGCCGCAGCGGCGCGCCGCGGGCGCCGGCTCGCAG